CCCCAAAACCCCAAAACCCCAAAACCCCAAAACCCCATAAACCTTGCTTTAAATTGATTTTTCATAATAATTTAGCCATATAACAAATATGTCATTTGAACGGGAAGAAGAGAGCTCTCATAGGGGATCGTGCACTGATGATCAGGTTATTACATTCCAATTGGATAATGATGATAATGTGAGCGATGGAACGAAAAAGCAGGTTCTTTAGCAACACAGATAAGCTTAAAAAGTATTCAAGTTACTTTAAAGAGGCCTTAAAATAGAATTCCTGACAGCAGTGTAACCATTATCCTTCCTGGATGGGTTTCTTTATCCTCCTTAAATATTTTCCTGAAGTTCATCAACGAGGACTTACTTCCTAAAACAATGAAGCCAGAGGACGCCCTGAAAGTTCTCTGGATTAGCGATTACTTCAAGGTTAATGAATTAACAGAAATCTGAATTAACGCATTCATAATCCCTCAGTTAAAATAAGACTAATATCATAAAGTTCTCGAAAGAAGCATATAATAAACTCAAAGCTAAGGATAGTGATGATGAGGTCCCTCCCGTGTGGTACGAGATGCTTGATAAGTGTATCAACTTCCTTGTTTACCATTGCCCAAGCGAGATTCTGTACAAGAAAGACGCCAGAAGTTTACCCATAAGTCTTATTGAGGAGGTCATAGAAAGGTCTTTCAAGCACTCACAGAATGAAAAGCCTGATATTAGTCTGATAAATCTGTTACTAGAGCATAGAAAATGAAAGAACATTTTCCAGCTTCTCAAGTCTGAGGAGAAGAAGGTGATTACTAAGGATGCTGAACTACAGTTCCAGGATGGACCATCTCTTACATGGGAGTTAACCAACTTTACAGATTCCTATCATAAGGATAGTGAGCCTTTTGTTATTGACGGTCATGCATTCAAATTAACAATCCAGTATATGGGAGATTCGTTACAACTGAAGGTATCTAGTGTAGAGCCTAGTCAACTCAAAAAGCTCAGAAATTCTTCAGATCTTCCAATTGATTTCTTCCAGTCATATGATCCACAACCTGACAATATTCTTTCAGCAATGTATAAAATAGAAATTGGAAGTTTTGTAATGGAAGAGGCAGGGATTGCTTCGATATTTGAAGATGGAACTTTCAAGGTTGAGTTAGCAAATATTCCTGACTTTGAATATGAACAGCATCTTGAACCAAACAACACGCTCCGAGTCCAACTTTACTTCAAAATCAAATACACTCACTCTGCCATTCTCTCCCAGATCGCCAAGAATTTCAACTATTACCACACCGACGAGTCGATCAAGCTGCTTTCTGCAGACCACCTGATCTTCTTGTTCAAGTTCGACTTCCTCGAAGTGATGAGTGAAGACCAAGTCTTGCTCTCATATGTGCTCTGGTTGCAAGCAAACAACTCTGAAGTCGACAACTCTGCTCTGAGTCACATCCTGGACAACATCCGGTGGAACCATGTGACGATGAAGACTCTGCACAAAGTCATGATCTGCCACAAAGTCGCCAAAGACAATGCAGACATGCGCAGGATCTTCAAAGGCGAGCTCGAACGCAGGATGCGAGAACTCTTGCAGGACCGAGACTCTAGCGAAATGTATGCAGTGTACTTGCACAAGAACGAGCCCAGGAAGTCCTACATGGACTTCTTGCGGCCGGAGTCATCCACCTTCATCTTCGACTACTTGTTCACACAGCTGCTCGAAGTCAGGCCACAGCAAGAAGTCGTCAGGACTCCGCAGAACATCGACAACAGTGTGGAGATGGTGTCCAAGAGCAGCTCGGTGGTGCAGGACTTTGAGAGTAGACAAGACAACGCATCTGTGGCAAGGCCAGAGGCACAGAGGACGAGGATAAGAGGGAACAGGCAGATAAACAAAGTTGAGGATTACATTACTCCAATGAAAGATGAAGATCAAGAATCTCGCAAAAGCTCAACTGATAACAACCCCATTCGAAACATTCCATCAGAAACAGACAAGAGGACCAGAATAAATCGATTATTTGATTCTAGAAACTCTCAAGAAGATGAGAAATATTCTGACCAAGATAAGCATGCTTACAAAGGACCTCCGAACATGGCTTCCTTTGATATCCCTAATTCAATGAATGATACTGCTAATAATCATGATTGCATAGGCGACCCAGAGAGTGCCTACAACCAGGACACATTTGGAGGAGAGAACTCCATTAACATGAACAATCTTTTTGAAAGGAAGCAGTTTTAATTGGTAAACTTCAGAAGAAGATTAATAAACAACGAATAGTTCAATATTTAGAATTTTAAATGGGGTTTTGGGGTTTTGGGGTTTTGGGGTTTTGGGGTTTTGGGG